GTTTTGACAAGTGACAGAACATGTGATCAGGGGATAAACGGGACGATGGTCACCATACATACATAGAGAGAGAGAGAGAGAGAGAGAGAGAGAGAGAGGATTTCCGGCAGCAGGAAGAACAAACCACAGGGAGCAAGTTCCCGATTCGCGATAGCACCAACAACAAGCAAGTGAATCGACAAGCAAGTGGGTGGCATAGGCCCACATCAAAGTGAATCAAACTGGTTCAAATTTCTAGACAGAATTGATCAAGATGATCAAGTTGGCATTTGACATCGGACTTGAGATCAACACAATTGCTGTCAATTTTTGTGTCGCGCGCGAGCACAAAAAGAATCAGAAACAACGAAAACTGGATCAAACCAAAACTGACACCTAAAATGCATACCAAGCGCAAAGCCAATGCCACAGAGCTGAGTGTGTCGACTGTGTGTGTGTGTGTGACAGAGAGAGAGAGAGAGACGAGTGTGCACATCTTGTAGCATATCAACTTGCGGGATCGGAAACAGAGAAGACCACACGCAACAAAGTCATGTCAATTAGCTGGTTACTTTTGTGATCACCGGAACTATCGCCAGCACCGAAAAAAGAGCGAGTAAAGCACCGACCAAAGGAGACTGGTTGTGGTGGCAGGGTTGGACAGCGGTTCAGATCAGTTTGTCCCCCGCACACAGCAAACCAGGACTAATTGGGGCGGAAGATAAGGGATCGCGGTCCAAATGAAAGCCAAACAGAATTGCGGTCGAAGAGATTCGAAAAATTGGGGTCAACACCGTTTAACAGAAGCAGTTAAAATAACAGGATTATTACCACATAGGTTCATCAGTGATCACACAATTCGGGCTGAGATGGTCTAATGTGAAACAAGACAGAAACGTGGAAGGCTCAAATCATTGGAATTTATTTAATCTTGTACAGCCAATAAAGACTTGAGAAAACTATACCAAGTTCGTCCAACTCCAGACTTTTTGTTCATCTCAACGTGAAAGACCTACGCCAACAAACCAACTCGATGCCAGGCCCATTTAGTTATTGTTGTCTCTCTATCTAACAGAAACAAACCCATCAGTATAATAAACCAAGTAGTTTATTTGAAGGCGAAATAAGGACACATGTAGGTGGGACAGACACAGTGAGTCCAAATCAAGCAACACTTGGGTGGTGGTGGTGCAGTGGTTTAGTCGCTGTCACCGGCATACTTTGAACCCCGTAGTCCGCGGTTCGAGCCCCACCACCACCATCCAACTTTGGTGTCGCCCGGTTCAATACCACACCTGACCTAGTGGGGCTTTATGTGGTTCACCATCCAAATTCCCGGAGCTTAGGTTGCCGGTTACCATCACTGAACAGCAGGTTTTCGTGACTATGGAGTTCCACCCTGTCTGCTATCCAACACACGCCGGTGTATAATAAAAAATAAAAACACAAATGCGGGCAAACACTCTGCGACTTGTATGCATTGAGATCAGAACGACCTTAATCACTTGGTGCCTGAAACCGGAAACCGCTAATACACCACCTTTTACCTAAAGTGAACAAGGATGATTTTTATGGATTACACAACTCAGCGAGCTCTGTCACTTGAGCCCGATTGGATTACAGCTCTTTTAGTGCATATGCACACTTAAGGTAAATTGTATAGAACAGAATAACACAAAACACAGCATGTGAGGGAACGAGAAATGATCTAGTTCAAGAGTGAAAACGTTGATTTGCGGCGTGCATCACGGCACTCACGAAACAGTAATGGAAGGCTTTTCGTGGGCCATTATGAATACGCAATTGCTAATTTGGACATCCAAAAAAATGTAACTCCAGCAAACACAAAAAGTTGTATGAGAAGGAAAAATCGGTGCGATTACTGGGCGGTGTAACTCACTTGTTGCGTCGGTGGGATGTGTGGCGCTTAGATGAACAGGAACGTTTGATAGACCGGCACCATTCACGGGAGCACATGAACGGAGCTGTTGTGTCAGGGGATAGGACGAAGTGCCGGAATCGGTGTACGAATTGGATGTCTTTGAGCAGGACCGGGTAAGGGAACAAAGTGAATGGCATAAAATAAAAAGCGATAGAGAAATTAAAGCATTGAGGCAGACGGGAGAAAAGAGGCCCAACGCGCGGACCAAACAATGAGGAACAACAAAGACGCAAAACAAACAACTCACCAAATGTGCCGAGGGATGTAACGCGTGCGGATGAGGTTGTTGTAAAGTCGATTGGGGACCGGTGTTATTGGTCAGAGGAAAAGTGGACTGCGTACCAGTGCTTTGTGGAAGAAAACCTGGAAGCATGTGGACCGACGAGAGACCGGTACTGGTGGTGGTAGTTGTGGTTCCCGGGACAGGATTTCGACCTGATGACACGGACCACATATTGTTGGACGAGGAAGCGGACGAAGATGAAGAGGAAGAGGATCCGTTTACACACGGACCGGATACATCTGGACCTTTTGATGGGGGAGGGCGGGGGTACAGAATAAAGCTCAAAATTAGATAAGAACAATTCTATCGACACGGATGCATTGAAGTCTTGAACAAGGTAAAGAGCATCATGCGCCCGTTGAGCAAGCGGTGCGCATCAGTAGGAGTAGCACCAGCATTAGTTTCAGAGCAACGCATATTGGCTTGAAAGGATTTCCTCTACGATTCCTTGACAAACGACAATAAAATCAAATGAGAGCAGAAGAATGTTGTTAGTCAAAAATACAAACTGGAATTTTTGAAGGAATGCACTCACTAATACATGGGCAGTATCATGGAAACAAAAGTCATATTTCACAGAAAAAATGACTTAGTACACTGAAAAACTGGCCCAATCAACTCTTGGGGATGGGCCAAACTTGAGATCACCGACCAACTCTCTGGGGATCGGATGGCACTGCATGGAGAACGCGATGACAGAACTAGACTGAGATACCAAATAAACCAATCGGGTGGTATGACGCAGGACTGTAAAACGCGAATCAGGCATGTGAGGCTAACGTGCAAAAAACTAAGTTGCAAGCATCATCGCGAATGTGGTAAGTGAGCCAGTGGAGTTCGGGTTCTCAAACCTGCCTGGTTCCACTTCTCAGACCGTGTATATGACTAATTTGAGATAACCCGAATCACCGGCCATGAGGCACAAGCATGGTGCAATGTAGCAACTTTGAAAACGAAAAGTGAGGTACTGGGTGAAAATGAAGAGAGTGGGGAACAATGTTTCATTTTTTTTAAACTTTATAGTCTGTTCTGTTTTGCTTTATTTCATGGGGCGCGGGATTTCACCATGCAGGCCGCACAGTATTGGCGCCACCGACTTCTACTTTGAACATCTCTCCGCGTCTACACCCATCCGATGGGATCCAACTCGGAAGGTCGGAAAGAACTAAGCGAGGCCAATGGCAAGGCTGATTTTTCACAACCCATCCGGGGCTACAACCGGGTTGGTGGACCACTGGTAGTTCACCTAGGGGAGCTGGCTAAAAACCCTGATGTCAAACCAACCATGAGGGGGCGTATGAAACACATACACCCTCCCGGTTGTGGTAATGGTCACCGGCTCGGTTGGGCATCAAAGTGGATTGGGCCCTTCGGACGTCTNCCCCGTCCAAAGGGCGTATGATCCGATGAACTGGACACTGGCCCCCAATAGACTGTGGTTTTCACACACCGCCCCGCAGCCTTGCGGGCCAGGCTTTGGCGAGTCGAAGGATCCAGCTGTGGATTCCTCAAGAAAATTTACCTACCTTGGCCTGGGCAACTGGTAGTATTCAGCCCACGGGAAAATTATGGAACATTTTCCTTTTAATAAAGATTAATTTACTATGATTTTTTTGGCACAGTTTGACGTCAGAAGTGTGTGAAACATAAAATATACCCCAAAGCAGTCTTGATTTGCTCGCCGTGTCACTCCCTCTAAAATTGACCACAGCTTGTGAAGAGAGCACGGAAACGCAGAAGATGGTCAGGTATATGAAAAACATCGGAATTGGTGGAGAGCGATTTCCTCAATACACGAATCATGTCTTCCACTTGATTGAGTATACGAGTTAAATCGCTAAACTATCCAACCAGACCTCACTCTCAGGAGCCCACTCTGGCACTCTGGCACACATAACCGGACTTGCAGCAATATGTGAGCAGTGAAGTGTCACGAGTGCCTGATTCACAGCTTTGCTACTTCGTATAGCAACTTATATTGGTGAATGGAAACTGTACCACCGTGTATTCAATACAAGTAAAAACGATTTCTTTTTTTTAAGTTCCCAAAGAACAAGGTTCGTGAATACCTAATTCAGTCTTGCTCCTACAGGAAAAGCAATTGCACGAGAAGTGATTCCTGTAGAAGAATGAATGAAGAATGAAGATAGTAATCCGAATTCAATTTGAATAGGCCAGGCAGTTGAAAAAAAAACACTGAAAACGACGATTTTAGGTTATGCAGCAATTGGTGACGAACTACAATAGACTATTTATTTCACGCATGCACACACACACACACACACACACACACGCCCATATGCAGACATACATAGAAGAGAAATGAGGAGGTTGGCAACTAAGAAAAAGCACGTACAGTATTTCGAATTCCCGTGAGCTTTTCCAAACCGAGGAAGGGAGGGAGAGATGAAGGGAGGGAGGGGGCATAGACACGGGCAAGTTTAATAGAAAACACATGCCCGGGCACGAGACAGATGTTCGGTCAGCGCCTCGGGGATTGCGGGGACGGGAGTTCGTAGAGACTGGTGATGGACGGGAATAGTGATGGAGGAGAAGCGCACGCATAATGGTCGATAGACCGACGCAGTAGTATGGGCACGCTTATGTGCGTGCGAATAGACAAACAAGTGCAATGGGAGAAGACAGACAGAAAGAGTGCGTGTGACTGCACAATCAGAGAGAAAGAGAGTTACGACCAGTGCACAAACGATCTGCGTATCGTGTGCGCTTGTCGTAAGCAATCAGCCCCTCGGTCGGTTTCTACGACCTCTCCCGTCCGAGTGCAAAGAGTACGAAGTCAACAATATACGCGCAAACAAGATTAGGGAAAGACAGTATGCAACAGGGGATAGCGGATCCGTGCACGATCGCGAAGACTACGACCGTGACCACACCACCATCATCATCACCATGGGTACCTGTCGCAGCAAACGACTGCGTACAGCGCATTGATTTCACCAACATCAACCAACCACCCGTCAATTGCAATCAGTCCATGGGCAAGCTAAGCAAAACTCATGTCGATGATGTGTACCTCGGTGCCGAGTCCCAAGGGATACCAGGTCGAGCAGTTCTACATCCTATCAACACTACCTCTATCGTATATTCTTCTTCTTTAACCCACCTCCCCGAAACATCGAAGCGGGAATGCAGACATTGAACAAAAATCCATGCCCTGAGGNNNNTGAGGACAGGTTGAACAAACTGTCCGAAGAAAAGTGTTGCAAAAAAGGGGAATAGTAACGGGATAGTGGTGAAGCACGTTATTATAGCCCGACCACCGGACAGCTGTGAAGGAACATAGTCAACGAGACTCACATGGAAACATCGCTTCGACAGGAAAATGAACTCTAACACTAAAGAAGGTAGTTAACCAAAAAAGAGAAAAGGTTTTGGAAGAAAGCGAACAAAATGACTCGCCTCATGCAACAGGTGAGCCAAGTAA